TGCAACTTCACCCTCAAGATCTCAATGCCATTCAGAATGGCATTGGCGCACATTGCCTTCCCAGTCTCTGACTCCTCAAAGTTGTCCAAAGAGTGCCGCAATCCGGAAATTTCTTTCCGGGCCTCCTTCAAGGATTTCTTGGTCTCCTTGTAGGCGTCCTGCAACCTCTTCTTCTCCTCCTTGAGGATGTCAATCTCGCTGGCCTAGGCACCGGCCTCCTGCGCCAACGCCTCCTTTTCAGCTTGCAGGTCGGCCAACTTCCTGCGCTCCTCGTCCAGGGCGCCCTGGAGCCGCGACACCTCCATGGTCGCAGTCATCTGGGCGTCCTCGCACTCTTTCGCAAACTGCTCACGACGGGCAGTTGCGTTCTCCAAGTCCAGCTTCAGCTGCGAGGCAGAAGAGGACGCCTCGAGCGCCTCCCGCTTGGTCTCGTTGAGGCATCAGGCGCCTCTTTCAGCAAAGAGAAGGATCTGCAACAGTTAGAAAGAAGTCAACAAGTTGTACAAATACCAAACCATTCCCTTAACATTCCGGAAAACAGAAGTAAGAAAGCATGTACCTTGGCGCCCACTTGGGCCAGCTCAGCAAAAAGGTGATCACCGTTCACCTCGGACGGCACCTGCCACGACTTGGCGGCCGCAATCGCCAAGCCCATGGCGCACCCTCGGTCGACGGCCACCAAGGGGGAGCAGTTCATGTTGACGCGCTTCACATCGGCACACCGGGGCCGGAAGATGGGCGGACGCCCGTCGGGACCAACGTAGCGCCCCTCTTCGTTGAGGTGTAAATGGGCGTCCTCCCACGCCTCCACCTCCACCTCTTCGTCGGCATCGACGTCGACACCCACCTTCCTCTTGCCTCTATCGGCCTTTTTGCTGGCCGAGGCTAAAGGGGAACCAGCCCTCTTCCCCTTTCGGAGCAAAGGCTCCTCCTCTTCTTCTTCCGAGGAGTTGACCTCCTGCTCCGCGGGTTCGGAGTTAGGCGCCTCCTCGCCTTCCACAGGAGCGGAAGATGCCACGCTCGCTGTATGCGCACGAGCTGTGCCACCCTTCACCGCCCTCTTCTTCTTCTTGGGGCCAGCCGCCGGCGCCCGCGATTGAGTGGCAGGCCCTTCTTGTTGAACGGGCGCCTCTTGTTGAGCGGGCGTCCCTTGTTGCGCAGCCGCCTCCGCCTCCGCCGCCATGGTAGCCAGCCGACTCTTCATCAGCTTGGCGATGCTCGAGTAATCCGCCCCTGCATATGGTGAAAATAAGTTAGTCCACAACACAAACAAGGGAACAAGGGAATAGAGCACCTAGACGCCTACAAACCATCGTTATAATAAGCCTCAATAATGGGCGGGCGGTTTTCTGCGGGGCGTAATTCCACGGGTTCCTCGCAAATCAATGGGGTGCCGGCCTTTTCCGACGCCGTCAAAACCACCGGCGCGTTAAAGGCCTCGACCTGACCCAACTCCCATCGCCTAACAAAGGCGCCCCCACTTGCAAAAAAGGAGTCCCGATAGGCCTTCACGAAGAAAAAACCGTTGAACCAGCTTCGGTTCAACTTGGGACACTTTTTCACAAAATGAAAGGGGCGCTTCTTTCGTTTCTGGAGAGACAAGCAATTGTCAAGAGGCACCATCTTGAAGAAATATCTGAACAGGTTGAAGGTGGGCTCCATGTTATGCTGCCGGCACCTCAACTTGAACAGAATGACGACCGTGATAACCGAGGGAGATAGGCGCCCGAGGGGGCAGGCGCAGGTCGTCAGGATTCCCTCCATGATCGAGTCAAGGGGAAACTGTAGCCCAAAGCGGAAGTATTCTTGATAAATCCCGATCCACTTCGGGCCACAGACGCCTACCCGGGACTAAGGCGATGGAGGCGCATACCACCAATCTCGTGGAAGTTGGAGGCTGGTCACCAACTCATGAACCCGGCCTAAAGTGACGGTTGACGTGTGTTGTGGCCCGGCCACCTCGAAGGGTAAGTTAGACGTCTCGGTGGGAAGATGATCGGGAGGAAAACACTTCTCCCATGAAGTGATCTTGTAGGACCCATCAGCAGGCAAGAACCCAGGCGCCGAAGAACTTGACGGCCCAGCAGACGATGACGGTCCACCAGATGCTGAAGCAGGCGCCCGCTCTAAACCAACAAATGACCCAGACACAACGCGGACACGGGGTAAGTGACGCCCTACCCTAGGTGACTAGAATAAACTCAGCGAATCTAACAAAGGAAAAAGGAACACTTACCGCGTTGAACTGGGCGCCTTGTTTCACTACCCGCGCCGGAGGCGCCCGCACCCGAAGCACCCGCACCAGGTGCGCCTGCGCTCGAGGCGCCGTGTCCTGAAGACTTTTCTTGTTGCGGGGAAGACATTTTGGACGGGAGCGCTGTGTCGGACGTGAAAGACTGACAAGAAAGAAGACAGAGGACAGAGTAGAATCTAGAGAGAGGTCAAAGCAAAATCCTAGAGAGAAGTCAAATGGAAGAAAGTGACAGAATCTCAGGGGGTGAGGGGTATTTAAAGAAAAACGGATGCCCCCACCAAACCTCCTCGCCGCGTGCCACGTGTCAATCATCCCGAACGGACCCTTCCACTTCCCCCACCTTTTGCTCTTTTCGCGAACCACAAAACCTTGAGCGGACCCTCGAGCTTCCCCCACCCTTTCCTTTTTGGGGAAATTTCTCAACTCCCAATTTCGAATTTTCTTTTTTAAAAATTCGATATTCCAAATTTTCCCGGCAAGCAAAGCGTGGGTGAGGGGGGCATAAGGGATAGGGACACACATCGAGACGGACACCGCGAGAAGGCGCCCGCAAAAAGGATCGTGGAGAAAGAGCACACGAAGCATTAAGCCAAGGCAAGGATCGGACGCCTGAAAGCGAGGAGTAGTTGGAAAAGGCGCCCCCATGTGGCAATAGGCGTAGGAGCACATAGAAGAGCATATGGCAAGGAGCACCGTCAAAGGTAAGACGCCCGCCAGCGAAAGGGGAGGAGCGAACGCACCCCTCCGAACCAGGAAGGAAGTAAAAACACGGCGTAGGGCGCCGAGAAGCAGGCATCCTATAGCAAAGAGGACGCCGGACTGCAATTAGAGATTCAGTCAGGCGCTCGAAGGCGGAGCCACGAGCACCTAACTGGGGGGGCAATTGTTGGGGGTATTACCTAGCAGCTAGGAGTTTGGGCTCTCTAAGAAAGAGAGTTGGGGGGCAAGGCCCGAAAAGAAGGGATCCACTAGAGGCCCTTAGGCCCAGACAAGGGAAAGGGCCCAAAGAATAAAACACTAAAGGCCAAATTGAGGTCAGCTGTCAGGTGGACCACTGCCTGCGGGCGCCTGTCATGTGTCAGGAGCCTGGCAAGGCAGTTGGATGCCTGTCATGTGTCAGGAGCCTGGCAAGGCAGTTGGATGTCTCACAGAGGGGACACAGAGCATTAAATGAGGATAGCGACGTGGAGAGGATCAACCTCGAGTTCGGTGAGTATAAATAGGGGCAGCTGGTAGCATTTACGCAGGTTGGACTCTCTCTCACTAAATACTACTTGAGAACACTACTCTTTCTAAGATACTAACTTGGGCGTCGGAGGATTAACGGGCCGAGGCGCCCTCCTCTTTGTGTGTGTAGGTCGACACCAGAGAAGGGAGACGTCCGAATATTGAGGGGGTACTGTGGCTCAAACAAATCTTATGTTATTCCCGTACAATAATAACACATTTTCAACAAACAATTTGTATTTAAATTTTGACGAAGTTGAACTAACCATTGATTTTAATTTGTTGTTCTCGAGTTTAATCAAACTGAGCTGGGGAGGCGGGTGATCATCACTATGAACGGTAAGCGCCAATCTAGGATACCATCAGTACAATGTTCATAGAAAAAATAAAATTAACTGAGAGAAGAATAACCTTGTAGCCATGGAATCTGAAGGAACCGATGTACGGCTGAAGCAGGGCAACACAAGGAAGAAATTAACAGAAGTTAATATCCAAACCTCACAACAGTCAACAAGTTGATCTCGGGGTCCAACAATGCTGTGATGGTGATGAATTTCGTTACTCTACGTTATGAATTAATAAGCTTTCTTAGCAGTCTAACAAAGAAGACATTTGAAAACTCAGCTAACTAGACTGAAAAAGAGGCGCCTAAACTGGATTTGGATGGGAATGGGAGTGTCCACCACCACCTTCACACCCTTGTTCCGTACGACAGCTTAGAGCCCAAGAGGCAAACAATTCTCCTCCAATGATTAGCTTTCCTTCTTGGCGACGGAGTATCTGAAGAAACTCCAAACTTGCTGCTGTCCATATATCTGTTCCATTTCCAGGTTCCCTGCCTCTTTTTTGGTCTTTCTGTTTGCATAGTTTATATCCCTTCCCCACTGGCAAATTCCAGCTCTTTCTATGCTCCCTAGTCCTCTCTATACATGTATATATACAAATATATTCCTTTCTATTCCCTTCTTCAACAGCACAACACTCTTCTTTCTTCTCCCCCGCCTTCTTTGCACCTGTGTGAATGATCAGGTGCATTTCTTTGTCCTGCACTCTTCTTTTTTGCATAGATGTGTGTTCCCAGTTCTACGTGCTTCTGTCTGTGTTATAATATATGATCATTTCATGTCTCCTGTGCTCATATGAAAAGTTTTGATCTTTATCGACTTCATGGAAGCTGTGATATGGGTTTCCTCCATTGTTGCCATAACTAGCTTTTGGTGTTGGGAGAAGGAGGAGGTTCCAATGTTCTGTTGTGCAAATAATGCATGTTGTGTTTATGAAGAAAGGGTTTGAAAGAATTCTGGTTTTTCTTTTCATGCCTTCTATGTTATAGGTAAATATGAAAGCTTTGATCTTTATGGACGATGGTGATGCTAGTTAATGAATAAGGTGAAGTTCGATAATGGGTTTCTATATAAATTCCCATTCCAAGGCTTCTGGTTATTGAGAGGAGATCCAATATGTTAACTGCTCTGCACAACCATGTTTGGTTCATCACAAAGTGTTTGAAAGAATTCAGCTTCTTTTTTTTTCCTAGTCTGATCAGTAATCTCTTCAATAACTTGTCTTGTTGCCTTCAATTGTAGACTGTGATTGAAAGGCGGGACGAATAACCATGGATCAGAAGGAGATTTCCCTGGAAGCTATCAACAAGGAAACTGTAGATCTGGTAAGGACTAACCTCTTATGAGAAAGAATTTTACTGATACACTGTGGCTTTCTGTTTGTAACTCAAAATCGTTTAATGACTAGTACTATATCAGTATTAGTACATCAAGTTCAGGATATTTTGAGAGTTGTTCTGACACTTTGAGGTTGCCTCCAATGGCAGGAGAACATCCCAGTTGAAGAAGTTTTCGAGAAGTTGAATTGCACCAAAGATGGACTGACTGGCGATGAAGTTCAGCAAAGGCTGCAAGTCTTTGGTTACAACAAACTCGAAGAAAAACATGTCTCTTAACCCATCTCTCTCTTTTAATCATTATATCCATCTTCATCGCTTGATTATCGTCTCAAGGTTCAATCTGTACTCTATAATATGGGGTTTACAGGAAAGCAAAGTCCTCAAGTTTTTGTCCTTCATGTGGAATCCACTCTCATGGGTTATGGAAGCAGCTGCTATCATGGCCATTGCTCTTGCACATGGTGATGTAAGTTTAAGTTAGCATCTTACCTTCCAACATTTCGTTGTATGAACTCATGGCCAATTGAGTTTATTCAAAAAACTTTCCCAACTGAAATGTGTTGCAGGACAAACCTACAGATTACCATGATTTTGTTGGGATCATTCTGCTGCTAATCATCAATTCAACCATCAGTTTCATAGAAGAGAACAATGCTGGAAACGCCGCCGCTGCTCTCATGGCTCGCTTAGCACCGAAGGCAAAGGTTGGCTGCTGGTTTACTTCAAGATTCATTGATAGCTTTCTTTCCTTTTGTTGTTACTGAGAGCTTCTCTTATATGTTTCTCAATCGGGCAGATTTTACGCGATGGGAAGTGGAATGAGGAAGATGCAGCTGAATTGGTTCCTGGAGATATCATTAGCATCAAGCTAGGTGACATCATTCCTGCTGATGCTAGACTTCTTGAAGGAGATCCTCTCAAAATTGATCAGGTAAAATTGAAAGAAATGGTTTTGGTTCTTACCAACATATGAGTGTAAACCAATTCCTAGTACAGTAAAGATGAACCAAAGCTGATCTTACCTACTCTGGCTTTCTTGCACAGGAAGTTTTTGACTATTTTGTTACCCTCTTGAAGGGAATCTGAGATGCGCTAAAAGTAAAGTTTCTTCCTTTTATTCCAGTCTGCTCTTACAGGAGAGTCGCTTCCAGTAACTAGAGGCCCTGGCGGTGTGATATACTCTGGCTCAACATGCAAGCAAGGTGAGCTCGAAGCAATCGTCATAGCCACTGGAGTCCACACCTTCTTTGGCAAGGCAGCTCATCTCGTCGAGAGCACAACCCATGTCGGGCATTTCCAAAAGGTCTCAACTTTAATCATCATTAACTTGATCAAATGGGAACCATACTATTTGAACTAGTCTGTTCACTTGAGACTTCTTTTTGGGGTGTTTTGATTGCTTAGGTCTTAACTTCAATTGGGAACTTCTGCATCTGTTCAATTGCTGCTGGGATGTTAATCGAGATCATAGCTATATACGGCTTCCAACAAAGAAGTTACCGTACTGGGATAGACAACCTTTTGGTTTTACTCATTGGTGGCATCCCTATTGCCATGCCTACAGTTCTTTCAGTCACCATGGCCATTGGTTCTCATCGCTTATCTCAGCAGGTAAGGAAGATCTGGGAAACTAAAATATTCCCCATCCTGTAACAGAAACTTGGTAAGGAAGTAAATTGATGATGGACGCCTAAAATTTTGAACTGCAGGGTGCCATCACTAAGAGGATGACAGCTATTGAGGAAATGGCAGGAATGGATGTCTTGTGTAGTGATAAAACAGGCACTCTCACTCTTAACAAACTTACAGTGGACAAGAGTATGATAGAGGTACCTCAATTGCTTGCGGTGCATTCCAAGTGTGTACTATTACTCATTTGAAATCCGAGTGTCTAGTACTCAATGAACTTACTGCTGAGTTTCAAAACAGGTCTTTGCAAAGGGCGTTCAGCAAGATGATGTAGTTCTGATGGCTGCCAGAGCTTCGAGGTTGGAGAATCAAGATGCTATTGACGCGGCCATTGTTGCCATGCTAGCTGATCCAAAAGAGGTAAACATTTTAATAAGAAAACTAACCAGCATAAGAAACTGTTATATGCCATTCTGTTTCGACATATTCATGTTGCTTGCTTCGCAAGGCACGAGCTGGGGTTACCGAAGTTCATTTCCTGCCCTTCAATCCAACTGACAAGAGGACAGCACTGACTTACCTAGACAGTTCCGGCAAGATGCATCGAGTCAGCAAAGGCGCCCCAGAGCAGGTAAAACTCACCAAGTGAATAATGATTTATGATCTAAATAACGATTTTGACTATTCAGATACTCATTTTGAATTCTCCATCCATTTGCTCCAGATTCTTAATTTGGCATACAACAAAGCAGAAATTGCCAATAGGGTACATGGAATCATCGACAAGTTTGCTGAGCGTGGACTACGATCACTTGGGATTGCCCGACAGGAAGTTCCTGACAATCACAAGGAAAGTTCAGGTGGACCATGGGAGTTTGTTGGCCTGCTACCACTCTTCGATCCTCCGCGACATGATAGTGCTGAGACCATCAGAAGAGCTCTTGATCTTGGTGTTGGTGTCAAGATGATCACTGGTGATCAGTTGGCCATTGCAAAGGAGACTGGGAGGCGGCTTGGCATGGGAACCAACATGTATCCTTCATCATCTTTGCTTGGAGAGAGCAAAGGGACAGGGTTTGAGTCTCTACCAGTTGATGAGCTCATTGAAAATGCTGATGGGTTTGCTGGTGTCTTTCCTGGTAAGTGATTCCAATCCATAAAAAGGATTCACTTATGGGACTCTGACACATAAACCATTCTTCTGACCACAACTGTAGATATTTTACTACCATGCTTAGTCATTACTAATCTTTTATTCCCGTGTTGCAGAACACAAGTATGAGATTGTGAAGAAACTGCAAGCCAAGAAGCATATTGTTGGGATGACTGGTGATGGAGTGAATGATGCACCAGCACTGAAGATTGCAGACATTGGAATTGCCGTGGCTGATTCAACTGATGCGGCTCGTGGTGCCTCCGATATTGTGCTCACCGAGCCAGGGTTGAGTGTGATCATTAGTGCTGTCTTGACCAGCCGTGCAATCTTCCAGAGGATGAAGAATTACACAGTGAGAGATAGTTTCTTTTCCCCCCATTTGGATGATCCGAAACAGAACAATGTTCATATCTTTGCTTATTGCCTCCTCTTATCTTGCAGATATATGCAGTATCCATCACTATCCGTATAGTTGTAAGTTTCCCACTCCAACAGTGTTGCCTAGATAAGTTTGTTGCATGCTTACCTCTTGTCAAATTGATGAGTTCATACATTCAAACAGATGGGATTCATGTTGCTCACTTGCTTCTGGGAATTTGATTTCCCTCCCTTCATGGTCCTCATCATCGCCATCCTCAATGACGGTAAGAACATCACAAACTTATTCTAATGATAACTTGAATTGTAGGGAAAGAAGAGACATACAAATGTGGCAATCTTCAACCTGATCAAAAGAAAGTTGCTTCTTGATAGCTCAAGTCTTCACATGCACGATCATATATCGTGTTTATATCAACTGCTAACATTGGGAGTATTGAGATTTTAGAGTGAAATCTCTTGTTCATAAAATGTGTTGATACTATATTAAGATCGAGTTCAACCCGTGTCAGAATATTCGCCTCAATAACAAAGAAATTTGATGCTTCCCTTGTCAAAATTGCAGGCACTATAATGACAATTTCCAAAGACAGAGTGAAGCCATCACCAGTACCAGATAGCTGGAGGCTGGGTGAGATCTTTGCGACTGGTATCGTATTAGGAGGATACCTAGCCATTATGACTGTCATCTTCTTCTGGGCAGTTTATGAAACCAACTTCTTCTCGGTACACAGAAATCACAGACAGCTTCATCACAGCCAACTCTTTCGTTACTTCAATGTTCTCAAAATTAACTTGCTTCCAAATTTCTGCACGCAGGAGCATTTCCATGTACCAAGCTTGAGAAAGAGTCACTACAACACGTCAGACCCGGATGTGGTTGATTTGCTTAATAAGAAGCTAGCATCGGCTGTTTACCTGCAAGTCAGCACAATCAGCCAGGCGCTGATCTTCGTGACTCGATCCAGAAGCTGGTCCTTTGTTGAAAGGCCTGGTATGCTTTTGGTCATCGCCTTCATCATTGCTCAGTTGGTAAGTATCTCTTTTGCAATAGTCAGTCACTAGAAAGCAGTAAAGAAATGGTACAAGATTCAGTATTTTTGGACATTTCTTAATAATTCGAGTTACTCGGATGAACTGTTAAGTGACTTGTTGCTGGTGTTTTCAGATAGCGACGGTCATATCAGCGCTAGCAAACTGGGGATTCGCTGGAATTCATAGCATAGGCTGGAAATGGACCGCCGTCATTTGGGTTTACAACATTGTGACTTACATGCTTCTTGATCCAATCAAGTTTGGCGTCCGATATTGCTTGAGCGGCAGAGCTTGGGGACTTGTCTATAACCAAAGGGTAACACTTGTCTATTAGCAACCAAAAATTCTGCAAGTGGCACACAGTCCTTACCTTAGCTTAGCTTCAACAAATGGTCCTGAAAACTAAACTTCTTCAACGTGTTTCTTTTGTTGTTTCAGACTGCATTGACTACACAAAAGGACTTCGGAAGGGAAGCTAGGGAAGCGGCATGGGCGACTGAGCAGAGAACACTGCACGGCCTGCAATCAGCAGAGTCGAAGCCAATTCACGACAAAAGCACCTTCAGGGAAATCAGCATCGTTGCTGAAGAAGCCAAGAGGCGCGCTGAGCTTGCCAGGTAGGTAGTTTGAATTTTTCCTCTTCCGTCTTAACCCTCACTTTGAATCTTGAAGCCTAAGATCACACGTTAATTCTTTTGGTCAGACTAAGAGAGCTGCACACACTGAAGGGCAAAGTGGAGTCAGTTGTGAAGTTGAAGGGATTGGACGTTGAAGTCAACCCACATTATACAGTCTAATCAAGGAGGCTACAAGTGAAGTACAACTGCTGATGGTCTATTTCACTACCAATGAAACTTCTCTTTTCACTTTTGTTCTCACTTTTTTTCTTACATGTATTATCAAGAATGGTTATTTTTCTTTTTTAACGAAGACCAATAATACACCTTTGTTGTTGTAGTAAAATGAGATTGGTGAAACTACCTACTGTGAAATTGTAAGATATGCAGATTACACTTGTACCCGGATTTACATCTATATATATGGCTATGAAAATTTCATTTTTTTCAAGTTCACTGCATTGCTAAGTTACATATTTCAAAGCAACTACAAATACAAAATTATTGAGGACATTTTTCATACCTTAGCTTTTACTTGCTTTGCGTGGGTTGCTGTCTGATTCTGCAACATTGAGCTTCCCTTACTTAATCGCACTGCATCACATACTCAGAGCACACCACCTTGCCGATCACAATACCCCATAAGCTTGAAACACATCTCAAGCTCTGCTCTGGTATTTTGATGCCTGAAACGCACAATGAAATGGTTAGAGCGTTTAAAATGGGAGTTGGAGGACTAGGTGTTGAGGCATGCAAAATTCCAAGGATTCGAGCAGGGGGGAAGTAATCATTCGTAACTTGGAGGGAGTAACTTCGGAAGGGCATTCCCTTTCCTCCTCTTCCTCGCTTTCATTCTCCCAGTCCGGGAATCTCGCCTTTTCTCTCTCGCCTTCTCACTCCCATCCGACCAGCCTTGCCGCTATACTCAATCTGCTCCCGAAATTCCTCATCGTCCAGTCTTCTTGCACGGAAATATCACCACTTTCTCTAGCCATCTCTCTCCCTACCGATTATCCTTGCCGCCGTACTCAATCAGCTCCCTGAATCCCCCATCGTCGCCCTTTCTGGCCGAAACCCCCCATCTGTCTCTCCCTCTCAAGCCCACCATCTCTCTCTCTCTCCCCCCGATTGGTTCCACATCGACAAGACGCTCCCCTCCACACTGCTAGTGCGCCTGCCCAAAACAACATCTCTGCCACGATAATCTGTGTACACAGATGACCAGGGCCCTTAGTCACATGACTAAGTCAATCTTGTTAGAGAGTTGTATAAGATCCAGCAGAATCTTCTCCCAATAATTCGAGTTATTGGGAGCAACTAGTTTTTGACATGGTATCAGAGCCTAGAACCGAAAGGTCATGTGTTCGAATCTCTAAGACCCCCAATATTAATCGTTGTCTTTCAAGCACATGGTATAGTGGGCCTGTGCAAACTTCAAGCCCATGGGTTAGCTTTCGTTTGAGGGGACGTGTTAGAGAGTTGTATAAGATCCAGTAGAACCTTCTCCCAACAACTCGAGTTATTGGGAGCAACTGGTTCTTGACAAATCTCAGCCCTTCCACCTCATTAAAATCCAATGGTTCAGATTAATCCATTTTAATGAAGGACATTGTAGTAATTATACAAGTTATTTATTTAATCATTAAAATAACAGTAAAAATATGTTGGGCTAGCGATTAATCTTCTCGGCGGTGGCTTTTTAGCCGACCCTTTTTTGAATTCCACGGCGGTGGCTTTTTTATGAGAGAGAGACGATTAATTATTCCCGGCTGGCCTTCAACGTCGGCCCCTCGCCGGGATGCCATGGCCTTCTGGCCATTCTTTATTCTTTCTATTCTTGGGGATTTTTCCTAGCGGATCTATTGCCATGACCATTTTCCTTTTCCTGGGGATTTTTCCCAGAGAGAGAGAGTTGGATTTGTGATGTTTGCTGACCTATTTTGTAATGTTTGTATAGGTTCGGTTTGTATTGTTTGTCATTTTTAGTGACATTTTGTACGGTGAGTATGCTTTGTACTGTTTGTCGGGTTATTTTGTAATGTTTGTACGCTTTGTTAGTTTGTAATGTTTGTCGTTTTTTTTTGTAATGATTGTAAACTTTGTTATTTTTGTGCACCATGTTTATCATTTTTGTCAACCATGTTTGTAATGTTTTTTATGTCTAAAAAAACAACCTGGTTGACTTTTGGATGAAACTCCTCTATATAGGGATGAAGCCTTCAAAGTCAACCCGAGTGTTTTTTTCCAGTTCGTATGGATTGTCGGTCTAGTTTGTCATTTTTGTCCACCATGTTTGTAATGTTTGTATGTCTAAAAAACAATCGGGTTGACTTTGAGAAGGAGCCCTCTATATAGGGATGAAGCCTCCAAAGTCAACCCGGGTGTTTTTCCAGTTTGTATGAATTTTTGGTCTAATTTGTCATTTTTGTCCACCATGTTTGTATGTCTAAAAAACACCCGGGTTGACTTTGGGAAGGAGCCTCTCTATATAGGGATGGAGCCTCCAAAGTCAAACCGGTTGTTTTTTCTTTTTGTATGGTTTGTATTGTTTGTCGGTCTAGTTTGTATTGTTTGTACAGTTCATACGTTTGTAATGTTTGTAAATCTGTTTGTATGTTTTGTCGCTCTAGTTTGTACTGTTCGTATGTTTGTACGGTTTGTACTGATTGTAAATCCGATTTGTATATTTCGTAATTTCCCATAATACCCAAACTACCTCTGTCATTAATTAAATAGCCATTCCCACTTTTTAACCATTGGATTGAAGTGTCCAGCTCTAATGGCTAGGAGGGGCTTAGTCAAGTGACTAAGTACCCCCCACTTAGTCATGGGATCCGCTCTCCCTCTATAAGTTCCCTTAGCCAGGTCGTTTATATTTTTCCTTTGCAGAATATGTATTTGCAACCTCCTTTCTCTTTATTCGCTTCTATGCAATTGAAGTCCTCGGCGATTCCATAGCGCATAATTCCCGTTATCAACCAGTCTTATTGTGGCTTAGGGAATTAAGGCCCAATTTCTTTATTGGTCCCCTCTGGGCGTGCAACGACTGCAACAATGCGTCCAGTCGTTGCGATGACCCTTCCTCTGGCCCAAAACTCCTCTCTTCAATTCTAACTCTGCTACTACTCAATGTAATATCTCCTTTTGTTCTTAGTATAATGTTTATCTGAGGTTGAACGTCATATATGTAATGCAATTAAAACTTATTTCCTGTTCGTGTTCCACTGCGTCTTTGTTAGGGAAATTTGTGTCTCCCTTGAAGGTCCCACACTTGCTGAAGTGTGCACAGAAAGGGTGCGTTTTGAGGGTGGTTAGTAAAATTAAATATTGTATGTAATTGATATGAAGTTGCAGCTGTTCTTAGCTTGCTTCTTATTATTAGTGATCAGCAAGTTGAAAGCTTGCCATCATCATATTGCACTTTATCTAGGAGGAAAAGGAAGATCCTTTTGGTAGTACGACGGATACATCGAGTGTGTTTTGTTTCAGTCCCAAGTATGTGACTCTCTGCCTCCCCTTGATCCAATATCTCAAGGTGCATCCCTATAGATCCTGCAAACTAACTCATTATTTTCACCATAAGAAGCTTGCATTCCACAGTGACCAGTCTGCTCTTATTGAGTCCACACCTCCCTTCCAAATCCAACTTGCAAGAGGCAAATTCTTTGACAATTGAGTGGACTTTCCCACAAGAGCAAGTTCGTTGGTAGAGACTTGGGATAAGAAACCTGTTTACTTCAATACACATTAACTCCATCACTCTGCATCAGTCTTCTAAGTTTGAGTTAGGATAAACCATAAAAAGGACTAAGGGGTCGTTTGCTTGTTGGATTTGGGTCATGGATTTGGTATCCAAATCCCAAGCTTGATGGATTTAATATAAGTCCATTGTTTGTTGAAGGGTGCTAAATCCGTGAGGTCCACGGATTTGGTCTTTATTTTGGAACCAAATCCGTGGACCCCACGGACTTGTAAATCCCACATATTGATTTGGGATTGGCAAATCCTTGATGGTTAGTTATTTATTTAACAAATCCATCATCAAATCTATCATGCAAACATTAGCCTCTTCAAATCCATAATCCAATAAATCCAACATAAATCCCAAGGTTTTTGTTGGCCAAAACCTTCATTTTTCAAATCCAACAAGCAAACGACCCCTAAGTCTCTAAACTCTTCTAGCACTTCCAATTTCCTAAACGTATTCTTCAAGACATTCTGGTTGGCACTATTGGATCGCCTGAAAAGCATATTCCTATGAGCACTTCCACTATGTTTTAAAGCATTGGTATTTTGAAGTACAAATTGAAGTTGTACCTTAACATTAAAGGCACAAATTAAAGTTGTACCATATGTAAATTTGATGTTTATGTTGTGGTACAATTTCAAATTGTACCAAAACATAAAGAAACAACTTTAATTTGTACCGTAAGGGAGTTTTAAAAAAAAAAGTATAGGTACAACCTAAAGTTGAACCATAACGTTGAAGGTACAACTTCAAGTTGTACCATAAAAGCAAAAACTAAATCACCATTGTTTTGAAGCATTGTAAAATTACTTTATTCCTAGAAGTGATATTCTACATCAAACGCCTGGACACATTTTGTCTTCGCAAACTTTCCATTCTGCTACCACTGCATTAGTGTCGTCAACTCATTTCTATGTAGACAAACACTACTAAAATGGATGTTTTTATCATGTAATTCTGCTATTATATAGATGTTATTTGAGTTTTTTTTACGAAATAAAATCTCATAAGCTAAATATTTGATCAAGCTGAACCATTAGCTACAGATTATGCTACTTAATCCTCCATTTGTTTTTCAAATAGGATAAAACAAAATTCATGTAAAGGTTCTATACAATACCGGCCAACGGGCCGGGCCCAATGCTAGTCCCGGATAAAAAGCAATGATTAAAAAAATGAATCCTTATTCATCACACAACAAACAATTGACATATTTACCACTCAACCCAATTTCAATTCTAAACCCTAACCAAACAATCCCTAATCCCTTCCTCACACCCTCCAATCCAAATCGGCCGCCGCTCAAATCTCTGCAAGCCGGCCTCCTGCTTTGACGCCTCCCTTCCTCACCCTCAATCCAAAATTACATGGTGTGTGGGGGAATTCCTTGGGAGCAGTCAGTCGTCAGATTTTGATGAAGCAGAACCAATTAATATTGTGCCACATATTTCTCTTCCTCTGTTTTTCTTCTTCTCTGGTTTTGGTATATAATTTAAATATGGATGGTTCTATCGTACACCAGCAAAACCTAGTGTATGTCGCACACCAGGCGATCTCCACCGTTCACGTCCATCTCAACGACCGACATAAATGAGGTAATTTATTTTTTAATCTGACAAAAAAAGAACCTGCATTTATGCTGACCGTTGAGATGGGCGTGA